CTATGTCTATGAGTCTGAGAAACATTTTTTAAATTGCTAGAGCCAAAATGAAAAGGGTCCTCTTTAAGTGGCACTGCTTATTTTTGTGTATATGGTTAGAAGATACTCTATTCATTTATTTACAGTATTAGCTAATTACTTGTCTTGCTTAATTTCTTAGTTGAAAGAATGCATTTAGTGAAGCTTTACTTCTCTATGGCTGGGATGTTGTTCTATATTGTATTTTTCAGCTGTCTATTTCTCATCTGTAAAGGGTGAATGTGTGGTTTGTAGTTGAAACAAGATCATAGAGTTATTGGGAGGCAGCCACATGGTTAACTTAAAAACAAAACAAAACACAAAACCTGCCCCCACTATTAAACATGCTTGCTAATTTTTTAACCAGAAACAGAGAAAAAAAGTAGTGGATAACCTTAAAATTTTGATGTTAAATAATCATTGATTTCAAACTGTAACAGAGTCAACAATATGTTTTTATGTATTTAAAAAATACTAGGGAGATGATTGTTTGAAGGCAGCCAAGAGTTGTATCACTAAGCTTTTTAATTAACTGTATTTCATGTTTCATTACTTTCTTAACAGAATCAGTCACCTGCTATTTCTGTGGATCGTAGATGCTGTGTTTATGTTGCATTTTTAAGATAAGATTGAAAACAATCACTCATGATGTGATCATAACATAAAATTACTGTGGAGAACTTATGAGATCTTTATCCCATCAACAAATATTTATTAATAGTGTGCCTGAGCCAGTTCGCTTAGGCTAAAGCATGCTGCAGAAGGCGAGCTCAAAATCTCAATCTCAACAAGGCTTGTGTTATATACATCCTGTGAGGATTAACAGCAGGTGTGTTCCTCATCCTGTTCATTCTGGGACCCTGGGACATGTGACTCTCAAGGCAGAGGGGAAAGAGAGATGGTAGAACCTTGTGATGGCTTTTAAGGCTTTTGCTCAGAAGTCACAAGTGTGATTTCCATTCCCATTTTATTGGCTAAGAAAGTCCTATAGCCTGGCTGGCCTCATTGTGACCTCAGTGAGGGAGAGGCAGTGAGTATTTTCACAATAATACAATCTGCCACAGTGCTTTCCCATGTTCTTTTTTCCCTTCTTCTTTTAC